TATATATATATATATATATATATATAAAACAAAAAATGTATAAAAAGATTCTAGATATGAAATATAATTTGCTTTAATCCTGCACTGGGGTCACAGGGAGGAAATGACCCAATTAGCAGGTCACACCTGAAATCTTTTGGGGCATCTGAGTAGGTGGAAGTAGATTTTGAAAATTTTAAGTCACTCATAATCCCTTTCAGAAGGGATCCTAGTATTCTTGATGATAATTGTCATGCATTCTGGGATCCAGCCTGAAAACCAAAATTTGTATTTCAATTGAAAGGTTAAAATTAAATAACCAATAACAGCTGAAAATTGACATGTGTATATCTTAGAAGATTAATTCTAGAAACCCTTAGGACTAAAAGACGCCAACAGATATGGGTATCTATAAGTACAGCTATTTTTCAAAGTATGGTGGTAATAGGAAAGAAGTAGGGTGGGAGGGAAGAAGGGACATGAATAGTTTTATTTAAGAAAAAAATAAAAGTGAAAGCATACACTCAGCTGCTAACGAAACGGTTAGAGGTTTGAGTCCACCCAGAGGCTCTTGGAAGAAAGGCCTGGTGATCTACTTCCATAAAATCTCCCACTGAGAACCCTCTGAAGCCCAGTTCTACGTGGGGTTCTGACACATATGGGGTCCCCATGGGTCAGAATCAACTCCACGGAAACTGGTGAAAATCAAACGACTTGTTTAAGGGAGTTTATACTGTAATTTGAAATGGCAAAGAAGATGATGAATAGATGAACCACAATTTAAGTTCTCTCTGGAACAAGGTATAAACTTAATAAAAGTGCTCAGGAATGCAAAGCAAAGGAGAATCAGTGTTCAGAGAGGTTGATCGGGGAGAACTTTTTGGAGGAAAAAATAGAAGTCAGGAAAAGAGTGATTGGATGGCCAGGATGTAGAGGAGATTTGAAGCCTGGGGAAGTGCCACTAGCCAGAGTGTAGATGGGTGTGAGGCACAAGTGGATGTTCAGGGAGTGGTGAGGAGTGGGCTCCGCTTTTCTTCCCAGCGGCATGAGCTGCAGGCAGCAGGCAATCAGGGCTGGGGGCAACCACCTGTGTCCGAGGAACCAATTCCATCCACCCAAGGTAAAGAATTAATCCAGAATTAAGAGAAACAGTTGTAATCCCAGCAGATTTACAAAGCTGTGTAACACTCACTCTAAAGTGAGTTAGGATCTGTTGTTGTTGTTGTTATGTGCCGTCAAGTCGGACCCGACTCATAGCGACCCCTCCTTGGGTTTCTGAGGCAGTATCACTACAGAAGTGGATTGCCCCATCTTCCTTCTGAGGAGTGGTTGGTGGGTTTGAACCGCCAGCCTTCTGGTCAGCAGTCAAGTACCGTAGGCATTATGCTACCAGAGCTCCTGAGTTAAGATCTAGGAGCAAACAATTTAAACCTTTCTTTATTAACTGAGTTCCATCATTTGAAACATACATATTGCATATATTGATTTGAGATATATGTATGCATGTATACAAGCCTTTTCTGTAGAAGTAGGTATCAAAATACATACAGCTATTACTTTAGCACAGTGCTTAGTACTCTGTCAATAGAAGCAGTATTCATTGTTCTTATTTTTGCTATTGTTAACAGCAAAGGGAAGGAAAAAGTTAGCGTTTTTGCTTTCTCTGGCTCAGAGTTCCAGAATTGGAGGCTCTCTGATGACAGCCTCAAAGTGATATTCCAAATATTGGCATTGCCCCTCCCAGAGCAAGTTCCCTAATTCCCACTCGCCCCCATTCTCCCTCCCACCTGTTTCCACAAAAGTGTAGTCTGGCTTTGTCTCTCTTCCTCAGTTCTGCAGTTGTTCAGTGCTTCAAATACCTAGCCACCTTTTAGTGAAACCTTTTGTTGTATTCCTTCTAAGCTGGAAAACACTCTTTTATGATGTCTTCTGCTGTCCTTACCCTAGAACTCCATAATTTTAAAAGACCATCTTAATTGAAGTGGTAACAGTTTTAAAAACGTGATCAACTGGTTAAAAGTGGTACATTTCTTCCTGGTTAGTCCTGCAGAACCCCCTTCTGGAACTTGAAAGTTGCTGTTATTTCTAAGCCAGGAAATATGGGTATTTCCTTATATTATTTCATATATTACCATTCAATCAATGATGAGGTGCAACTTCCAAGTTCACTAAAATACATAAAAATATGATGAACACATGGATTTTTTCTAGGAAAAAGCATTGCTTTACACATATAACAAGTTATTAGGTTCTAATACTCATAGTAAGATTTTTTAACAAGTTTACAAGGAGTGTTGATGTCATTAAATCATACTTTGCAACTTTTAATTATGCCATACAAATAAAATTATGGAGAAAATGGATAATCTATGATTAAAACAAATGACTGATACTTTAACTACTTTTACTTAGCCAATAACTGTATATAAAGGGAAAGAAGTTGTTTTGGTTACCTAGTGCTGTTCTGATGGGAATATACCACAAATGGGATAGCTTGAACAAACAGCAGTTTATTCTCACAGTTTTGGAGGCTAGAAGTCCGAGTTCAAAGTGCCAGGCTCTAGGGGCTGAGTGAAAGCCCCTCAACCTTGGGCTCCTGCTCCTGGCCCACTGAAGCTGGAGACTTTTCTTCACTCAGGCAGCTGCTGGCTGCTGAGGCTGAGAAACCCAACATTGACAGGTAAAAAGGCACAGTCCTGATACTACCAAACAACATGGCAGGCCATTAACGCAAGTCTAGAAAAAGTCCCAAGACCAGCAAGGCATGGCAGGCTAGTGAACAATGACTCAGCTACACTCAGGATCCAAGCGTGCCAAAAAGCTGCAGACCGTTCCCAAAGCTTCTCCTTATGTATGGGAAGCAGACCACATCACTAAAGCAGTTACTCAGCTGCTCCTGGCAGATTCCACCATGGAGTTGATTGCAAGTTTCATCATGGGGAACAACTTCTATCAGCTGCTCAGCCACTCAAAACCAGGCCCAGACAGGTTGCCATACAACCTTAACTACCACAGAAGTTTAGCTTAAGAGCTTTTCTTCTGAGTGCCTAAGGCATACTTGAAAATTCAGAGTCCTTACTAAAATTCAGTCATTACTAAAGGACTACTACAATGTAAAATTAAAAATGCATCATATACTGTACGATTACATTCAACCCTCCATTTATGGTCAATTTCTGCCACTCAGGATTCTAAATCTCTTTTGGTAAAGGTAGGAATTAGATATAAAATGCCCTTTGCAGATTTGGTTGTTATAAATATGCCAGGAAAAAGATAACCTTATAAAGTCATAATCTTATAAAATCATGCAAAATATAAAAGACATGAGACACGATTTGTCATGCTCAGGGTTGGTTTTTTTTTTTTTTTTTTTTTGACCACCTAGCAAAAATCCATAGTTCAGAATTTTAGGAGCAGCTTGCAATAGCCAG